GGCAGCAACGCTTCCTTCACATGCAGGTGCACTTATCTTTAGTAAAAGTGAACCTGCCAGAAATTTACCCCTTGACATGACGGAAACGTTGTCGCGTATTAAAGACCACAACAATTCAGCTTCCAATAGAAACACAAAAAGTGGCTTATCACTTGGAACTTTAGAATCAGCTGCAGGTCTAAGTCCTTCAATATCTCTTCCTTTTAGAGATTTGCCAGGCAAGGTTAATGACAGTGGTTTAGTCAGCACGGTGGTAAGTAGGCAATCCAGTTCGAAAAGCGTGCCTGGGTTATCAAAAAAAGTCTATGTAGAAAACTCAGCAAAACGTTTTGGAAAAAACAGTTCCGATAATGTCAATGTTCATTTGAAACAACAACGTAGCATTATTCCTGGTATGACAGGATCAGCATTAGGTGCCATTCATACAGTCGCCTTAGTAAAGAATGAACAGGAAAAACACAATATTTTAGAAACGGCTCTTAAGAAAACAAGTAGTGCCTCTGATGATATAGCAAGTGGAGACCTGCATGGCTCCAGCGGCAGTAACTACACACATAAAAGTAAGCCTTTGGCCGTAGCCGTCAACTCGGTAATCCCTCCAAAAAGAGGTTCCCCGTTCAGATATTCTTCAGCACCTTTAGGGGACAAAGTAGCTCCTGCCATAACAAAAACTGAAGGTGCCCTCTCAGAAAATGCTCCCTCAGTTGGGAAACCTATATCAGGCATCGTTCAAGATGTGATAAGAAAAACTCCGGAGAATAATCGAGAGGCTGGCTCCTCCGGCCATAAAAATTTTCCATATAGTTGGAACACTAAATCCTCAGTACCCCTGTTAGCACTTGGTGGTTCGACAAAACTGAATTCGGGTATTCTTGGAACACTTAACTTTACTGGACAAAATGGGCTTGGTCAGCCGCCAATCCAAAACGCAGCAGTTAAAGTAACAAATGGTGTGCCTAATGCCACCAACAAGCAGCAGATTAGCAGCAATGGCGCCTATGGTTTGTTCGCAGATACAAGTCTGCCGTCAGGCTTTTCAATAAGCAGCACAGGAGTACCTACAGGATTGCGTTCCAATATGTTCCACTCATCCAAGCGCTTGGGCTATAACACAGTTGGAGCAGCTAGAGTTCCGAGCACAAATGCGGAACGTTTCCTCTCAAATGAATTCCACGCGCATGTAGGTCGTTTTCTAGATGGTACACCAAGACCTCCAGCGTTAAATAGCCGTGCAAATGGGCCTCATGCCTTTGGAATTCATCCTTCTGGTCTTTCTAGTGGAAAATCCCAATCTTCTACAGCCATTAGGACCCCTGAACCTTTGGTGCACGTGCAAGCTTTTCTCAGTAATGGAAGCACTGGATCCGCAGACATGCTGAGAAATGTTCCCAGCTTAAGCAATCCACCTGGGATTTCCCAAAACAGAGAAGATTACGGCTCTTTTATTCATACTGATCTACCATCCGGCTTTTCTACTAGCCGCACAGGGGCACCTACAAGAGCTGGAATGCTTATCTATCATGCTTCAACATCAAAGGAAGTTCCGCCCCCAACTGGAATAATTGGTGCTACCACCACCACTGACCATCCTATCCACCCAAATGATGTCCGTGAGCATGAAGGTTTGCCAGGCAGCAGCCCGAAAATGAATGCGCAAGATGACCAACGATACCCAACTCATGATCGGGAAATTGAACGTCTCGGCAGTGACACATCAGAACTATCTGTAACACCAACGGCTTCTCATCCCCTGGGACACAATGAAGTTTCGTCTGCTTACGGACACACTGGAGCTGTAGCCAGAGGGAATAAGATGCCTGATTTAATGAATCCATCTCTTCCTCACCATAGGGCCGCAGCGTACAGCTTCTCCCCCTATAAGAGCCTACCTTCCAGCATTTTAATCAGCCGCGTACGAACCCCTGCAGGAGTCGGATCTAACATACTCCGCGCTTCGAAATACTTTCAAGGTCCCTCCAATTCGGGAATGGTTATCACTGCTGGTGCACACGACCAACCTTCCCACACAGCCGAAGTGCTTAATGACGCAGGACGGTCCACTAGGAGCATGGTAAGAACGCAAATGCAATATCGCGGTAGCACTGTACGTCCCGTCCCTGGAATGAAACCGCTTGCTTCTACCAATGATACATCAAAATCAAACGCACTCAACAAGGACTCTGACATTGCGATAACTGATCAATCTTACCCTATTACTCATAAGATTGGAGCTGAATACACGCTCTTGAAGATCCCCGGAGTAATTAATGCGACTCCATACCCCAATCGACATGACGCATACGGCCATCTCAGCTATGCAAATCGACCTCCCAACTTTTCAACTAGTGCTACAGGTGTGCCTATGGAATCGGGTGACAACACTCTTCCCAGTGCCAAACTATTAGAAGTTTCTGCAAAATCTGGGTCTATTGGAGTGACAGGTATCCCTCGACAATCTTCTGTTTCACAAGTAGCGGGTGAGCGTATGAGAGGATTTCCAGCTATTCGTACAAGAGCGCAGTTTCCAAATAGCCGTCAGTACCATGCTCAGTTTCATGGAAGAGAAATTCCTGGATATGGTAGTGGTATAATAGAATCATTGGTGCCGTCATCAGTTTCTCAACCTTCTTTACACGTCCGAGCCTCAACTTCTGGAAACGCTGTGGCACCTCGTCCACTCATGAATGCACCCAGTTTTATCAATCCTCCTTCTCCTGCCGGAATTACCGTAGCACAGCGATCTTTCACGCATGTTACTTCACCGCTTGGTTTTCAAATTAGCCGAACAGAAGGTCCCATAGGAGTGGGTCTCGGTAGGCAACGTCCTTCTGAACACTTAGGAGGCTCCTCCAGATCTGGAATCACTGCGGCAACTGTCACCCCTGCAATGCCTTCCATCTACAGTGAAGCACGTGATTTTAAAGCGTTTTCTGCTAGCAGCGGAAGAGCAAACTTCGGCGTTCATGGTCAGTACCCGTCTCCCACTTTTCGGCATCAAATGCCTGGCTTCGCTAGTGGCATGTCAAGATTGTCCCTACCTTTAAAAATGTCCCATCCTTTTGGACGCATGCAACCATCTCTTAGTACCGAAATCACTGGATCTGTGCACCTACAACGAAATGTGCCCGGCTTAAGCAATCAACCTCAGTTCTCCCGAAGACATGGGTCGTACGACTCCTTGGTTTATAGCAGTCCACCACCAGGTCTTTCAATTACCAACTCACGTACATCTGCAGGAGTACGTTCTCGCATTTTCCGCTCAACAGAACGCTTACAAGGCTATACTACACCTGGAATTACTAATGCTGGTAGTGCTGACCAGCCAATCCATAGAAGTGAACTTCATCAAGATTTAGGAGGAATTCGGACTAGTAACACAAACCAGCCTGTAGCCACACATCAGGTTCAATCTCAGGAACTTGGGGAGCAAACTTATGGCTTTAGTGGCATAACCAAGCCTTTTACCAACTTGAATGACAACCCTAACTCAGGAAACGTGGGAGTGTTGGGCTCTGTCAGAGAACTGGACGGTGCAAAGAAAGCTTCTCGACAAACCGAACTTTCTGCCGAAGGAGAGCGATCAACCAGGGGTGGTGGATACAGTATCTTACCTGAAAGTGCAAGCCTCACAAACTTTGCCAGCATGAGCTTAGCCAACGATGAAAAACACTTCGGGTTTCAACCTCCGCGTACCATGAGAAGTTTTGTCCAGACAGAAATTCCCCAAACCACACGCATGTGGCCACCACCACCCAGCTTAGCGGAAACAAGGAATCTTGGTGGACCCTCCCACACTAGTAGTTATAGAACAAAGCCTCAGCAGGCACAGTTTGGAAGTCTTGCAACGTATAATTCCAGATACCCTGGAGTTCTAGATTCTCATTTTACCATTGACCCTACAACTCAAACGGTTGTGGCTGTTCCTAAAGTAACAGATTCTTCTAAACATGTTGGTGGCCTTGCTAGTTCATCATTCACCGTAACTGCAGTGAACGAACAGCCAACAAATCCTGCCTACGCACCGACATTTAACGGTAACTTCAATGCTGAACGCCGAACAACTGAACGTGAAATCAGTTCTTCCTACAAATATTTACCGAGCAGGATAACTTCTAGTTCTAATACTCCTAAAGTCAATTCGTACGAACCAGGAAGTTACCTAGATTTTCGAAATTTAGAGACTGGCAGTCGACCCCACAGGTTTTTCAGTAACCAAAGAGTACCTGTATTTCAACATTTTACTGCCAAAGGCTGGAAAACAACATCCGGAGAGAGCAGTGGTGATCATGCTTTGACCGTCAGATCACCAACTGCTACTCGCATCGGTGACGTGGGTTCCACCATAAGACAAGGTGACGCAGCCTACAAACCAGACTATTCAGGTCATTCTGAAATAGTCGGAGCCCGACGCCATTTCTTAAACCAGCTTAGGTTCGAAAAGGCAACTAAACCCACTAGACGTTCATTTGCTGCTAGAGGCGTAGTGCAGTCTGGAAGTAGCGGCGGCTATAACCTCCCTGTTCCTGAAACGCGTCCATCTTCCTTTCAAACTGGCTTTACAGGACCGGCTTATGAAGCGGGCTTCAAGACATACAATGTCGTGAGAAACTCAACAGACAATGCTGATTACGAAATGAATAGTGCTCTAAAGGACCTCAGACGTCAGTCCACAATGACCACAACATCCGAATACGAAACAGGGCACCATAGTATTTCTAGTGGACAGCCTAATCCTACTAACGAGTACCGATTCATCCCTTACAGTATACGCTCTAGAAAAAGGGTACTTTCTACCCGTTCACGCAGTGACAAAGTCTTTACATTATCCGGTGATTCGAATCATTTAGAAGGCGACACTGGTTCTCCGAGTATAGAAGCTGGAGAGGGCTGGCCTGCTGGCTTCGGTGAAGCTCCGATAGCCTCAAGAGGTTTCACTGTGGACAGCACAAGGCATACTGTTCTGGACGCTGGGACTTCCAGATCAGCTAGCGAAGGGAGGGGATGGTCGGTAGGTATTGGTGGTAGCGAAGACTCCCCTAACACAGACACCACTATGATTTCTAACCTTAATGGACACTTAAGAGATTCAATGTCGAGCTACCCTAGCAAGTACAAATACTCAGGGGGCCCACTGGTTCCGTATTTCCGCAAACATGACTCAGCTAGCCAATTTTCTAGCACATACGGCTTTGATGTAGGCCATAATGGCGGACGTGGAAAAAGCGACAACTCCCGTTTTCCTGTTACCACTGGGTACAGGGCTATACCCGCCAGTTTTGCATCAAACCCTGGCTACCACACCAAGAATCCACTCTATCGTTCCTACGGCTCTCGTGGTTATCTCAGTCAAAGTACCAGCCGCAGAGATTTTAGTGTTTATTCAGGAACCTATGACAACAGAGGTCACAAAAGCTACCAGCCGTATTTCGTACCTCGCTCAGCTAGCGAATCATCTATCTCCAGCCAAGACAACGGAGCATGGAATCCAAGAGGTGCATAGCAGGGCATCAGGTAAGATTTTGTAGACGCTATGCACGGCTTATGCTTCCCTTACAGATTGTTCTTAGAGATATATTTAGGATTAATTTACTTTTCGCCATAGAATGTATTGTTGTTAGACGTCTACTCACTATTCGCAAAGAGCTAATATGTGTCTATTCACTGTTTTACTGAGCTTTACAACAACATTAGCCGTGTTTCAAATAAATATCATTTTTACGGATTTAATAAGCGTCTTTTCAGTGAGCCGAAAGGAATTATTGACCAGCTATTGGCTCTGTGCGCCGAGTGCCAATTGAAACAATATAGGGGTGCTTATATCCAACCCTTATTGTGTTCAGCCAAAATCATCTAGTAGGCAAGCTTGGTATGCAATTCTCCAATATCCACGCTCAGAAATTTGTAAGATATTAGCAACATTCTTTCACAACTCGCCACTGGAAAATTATGTTTTAGAATCCATACCCAATCACCTACTCTCAGTGCATTCTCGAAGCAGTTGATAGCCATAAGGCTGATCATTGAAGACTCCCGCGAGTGACAATTTCTTTTTGCGTGTGCTCTTTCCGTTTAAAACCCCTTCGGTCCCAATAACGAGGTAAAAATAGCGCAAAAATCGCAAACTAAGACACAGGCACACTATTCTATTGAATTACACCACAGACACACGTACACAGTGACGCACGGTGTTTTATAAATTATTCAATTCAAGAAGCAAAAGAAAGATCTGTTAGCATTTAAATTAATTTATACGAAAACACCGAGACAAGAGTGCCATCATTCAGTTCGTAGAGAACCTGTTTCCGAACAAATATAAGGTAAAACCTACCTGTAAGTACTGCAAGAGAGAAAGTCTTGTTATAGAAATAAAATATCGAGAAGACGGCTTATTAAGGTAACGCAAATAATCACGCAGTCGTATACTCTTACAACATGCAAATAAGGTCTGCAGAAGCCCGCAAGGTTCTGCAAGAGTTATGAAAAGGAAAAAAGACAACCACCAGTTTGTAGCACGAAGGCATAAGAAATTCCGTACGGATATATAAAAAAAGCCTTTTATTTGCCAACAAATTCGTCCTCATCCAGGGTTCGAAACCGGAACCAATGCCTGTCCGGGGCAGTCACAGGTGGTTCATATCATGTATTTCTTTTTAATTACGCTCAAGCCCGTATGGCGCTATAGAGGGGAGTGGTTACAACGTAAACACGAACTAAAATAGAGCACCAAATTACTTATTCAACAGACAATAAATTACAAATTATACACTGTTAGCTACCTAAATACAACGAACTGAATACAATGGGAACATATTACATAAATATGCAGCACGTAATACATTAAACATGGTACATTTTTATTAGTTACACAGTATTTTAGGCAAGGTTTATCGGAAAAATGATTATTAGTAATAGTTACCATGTCTTCAAGTAGGGAGTTCTATTGCGTTGATGTTTGAGGTATGAATGATTGATAAAAACTATGAGAGTTACATAATGCTATACAACCATGATCGATACGATGAGATAGGTACTGGGCATTGAGATATTAGTTGGTAAGGAAAGGTGGGATTGTAGAATATGTTGTATATTGTGGCCAAACAGGATATTTCCGGAAGAGAATGAAGAGAAATAAGGCCTTATTTGGAATTCATTGAAGTCATTTTAGCAATGCGATTATATAAGTGCGAATGGACAGTGATATTTTGTACAAGTTCAAGTGGATCCTTCAACAATGTAATAAAAATCTCAAACAAAAGAGGCATATTCACTTTTGAAGTGAATTGATATATTTGATATAAAAGTATCCTTAGTGCATATAGTTCTTTTGAGAAGAGACGATGTATGTAACCTAGCATGCGAGCGGCATTAGTGGTAATGTATTCAGTGTGAGGCATACAACATAGGTTAGATCTGATAATAATACCCCGAATTTATATTCCGAATCGTTCCGAATCGAAAAACAAAAACGTCCCGAATCAAGCGGGACGTTTTTTAAGTAGTATGTTGGGGGGGGGGGGGGGGGTTGCCGACCTTGTAACGCGATATCCTTATGTTTGACATTTGTCCATGTTTAAATCTATCGACCATGTGTTGCACCGAGCTGCTACAGCGTTAAGATAAGACCAAAAAGTGAACTGCTATTATCACTTGTTATTTAATAAAAAATGACGCAATCCTCTGCAAAAACGTGAATATTAGGCGGAATAGAGAAATTAGGGTCGTTATGATAAATTAAAAACAAACGTAGATCAAGTACTGACCCTTATGTTACGCTTGACTTAACCACTGCAGGTGATGAAATCTGATTGTTCGAAATAACGTTCAAAACTTCGTTACCTAAAAAACATTCATTCCACTTGAGTAAATTGCTCTCAAGACTAGTTAGTAGGCCCAATTTAAATAGTAGTAGTTGGTGACAGGTGTTCTTTGCCACCAACTTACTAACATAAAATATGCGATCCTGGTGTGATGAACGGCCCAAAGTATGATGCAGTTTGTGAGTGAATATCAGCTATGTCTCGCATGAAAAAGTGTTTGCAAAAGCCATGCGTTGCCGGTGTTAAGAAACAGATAGATTCGAGAAATTTAATGAAGTTGGTGAAAATGACGTATTTGGTAACTTACCGGAAGTGTAAGTTAGCGAAATAGTGAGATAAATATTCGGAGAATGCTCACTAGCCAAACTAAAAGTTTGCACCACCCTCCCGATCTTCCGTTGGGAAGGGAAAAGTAACTATTGCTTTCCTGGCTCGTGTCGTGGCCTTATTGTTATTTTCTATCATCATGTATGCATGACATCAGCTTGACATAAAACTT